CTGCCATCTTTATACCCTTGAAGAGCACTGATAGACCCACGTTTCAGAATCACCTCTTTTACTTCACTATGATGATGAGAGCTCACCAGTCAAACGTTTCTTTTTCAAAAGGAATTACTTTTGTTACTTTGAATTATATGTATGTGTGAGGGGTATAGGCACATGCCTGCAGTTGCCGATGGAGACCATAAGAGGGCATCAGGTCCCCTAGAGGTGGAGTCCCAGAGAGCTGTGAGCCCTCTGTGCTAAGCACCAAACTTGAGTCCTGCAGAGCAGGACCTTAACCGCTGAATCCTCTTAGTTTGGGTTCTCTCACCAGTCCACACTGAAGCCTTCCTGAGAATGACATTCTTCAAGTCCCAGGAAGCAAGAGTGACATGTTTCTGCAGTGCTATCTATGCCTCCATTATCTCTGGTAGCCACAGTGGAGGAGACAGAGGCTCAGTACTTGTAAAACAAAGCAGAAAAAAAATCTCTTTATTGCTTTGACCTTCAGACACACTAAAAACAGCCAGGTTCTGAGCTCTCGCTCCTCCTCAGCTGTCTCTCCTTCTGGTCTCCCCAGCGATTACGAGCGCTCACAGGCCTGCTTCTCCACACCCTAGCCACCTTCACAGCCGCCGGACAAGGCTCAGATCCTACAACACTGTTCCAAAACCCAGCCTCTCCCAGCGCCCGGCATTGGGAGCCCGCCACGACACCGGCCTGGCTCGTAAACCATCTCTTTATGTACTTTATTACTTAAACTCTTTTATTTGCCTGCAGGAGCCCCTTAACAAAATCACATTGAATTGACTTTCTCACACCAAATCAAATCTCCCTGGTCCCAGTTCAGTTGTCTTTGTCAATATGTATTTTATAAATGGAGTGAATTAACAGATGCCGGAGGAGCAGAAGTGCTGGGGTAGCGTTTATGTTTTTTAGTGCTCTCTCTGGGCGGATGAGCTGTGTGGGAGTGTTATACAGGTACCTTGGGAAGGAAGTCATTCCCGCCGATATGTATTCTTAACCATTTTCTCCCAATATATTTTAAATCTCCTTATTACACATTTTTCCCTTAGTGTTTTGCATGTATGGTTTTATCATGTACGCCGTTAATTTGGGCTCAGACTTGATGCATTCCTTAATATTAAAAGACAAAATAAAAACATTGTCTATCATTCAGAGAGGATGTTAGCCATGACCAAGATCATTCCCTGCTTTTAGAATATGTTTACACACACACACACACACACACACACACACAGAGAGAGAGAGAGAGAGAGAGAGAGAGAGAGAGAGAGATAATAAATCAGGTTTATAAAGTCTTTGTTTCATGGCAAAATTCTGGGTTTACATGGACCCTAGACTCTGCTTTGAGAAAAATCAATGAAGACCTCCAAAAAAAAAAAAAAAAAGAACATTTTTTTCCTAGAATGGAATTTCCAAGTTTCTTAAAAAAGGTGGAGGGGGGTAACTACAGGATTCCACGGTGCAAGAGCTGACTGGAAGCGATTGCTCCAAAAATGTCTCCATACAACCCCGATGGTCTTTTGGAAAATGTAGCATGTAATGTTTTAAAATATATGGCAGTGGTTTGAGGAACAAGCTTAATGTCTTCCTCGGTTTTGTGATGGTGGCCATAGCGCCACCTACTGGTCATCACAAGCAAGAATGTCTTTTTTCTTATCTTTTTTTTTTTTTTAACTGTTCTGCCCCTAATTTTCTAAGTTTGTTCTGAGGGCTAATTGTAATCCGTTTCTTCTCTCTTCTATGCCTGAAGCACAGAACCCCTTGTGCTAAAATATGACGGTCCCTAGTCCAGCCCAGGGTTCAGTATGAGTTTTCTTACCCAGGACTGATTTTTTTCTACTTTACCGGTTTTATCTGTTAGTCTTCTTTGGAGAGTGTAAGGCACATTGTACAGACTTAAACTGCTTACAAATCATCAGACAGATGCATTGACAAATATTTCCTCACTAGTCCTGTATGTTAAAGAAATGCTGGTGCCATACTTGATAGTATGATTTCAAGCGTGTCTTCAAGAGCCGCCATCTACCAGGGGCTGTATGTATACATGATGTGAAAGCCTGTGCACGCAGGCCGACCCGAAATGGAAATATCTACTCACACGCACCTCTCTGTGTCTTGCTCAAAGACACTCTCCATATTCACACAAACATAATGAAGAGCCTTGGAAGAACGGCCCAAGCCATCAATAAGAGATGACCTGTTTGGTTTTTCTTTGAGCTTGTTTAAAATTGAGACTTCTGTGTGTCGAGGTTCAAAAGTCAAGTGCTGTGGGTGATAAATTAGGCAGGGGTCAAAGGTTGTTGCCATGCCTTTCGGAAGCCAGTCTGTCTCTGGATTTGCTGCTCATTCATGCTGAAGTGAGGCACCATGGGTAGTACCACCAAGCCCCTCTCCTGCAACATCTGCTCTCCCTAAGTGAGTTAGTGCACGTCAGACATCTTTATGTCAGAATATCACAGTGATGGATGCAGACTTCAGAAAATGCTGCATAAAAATCTGGTGTGCCGTTCTGGCCATTAAGTGAAATTACTATTTAAATTAATGGCACTGTCATGGTTTATCTGTGCAAAGAATGAACGCTGATTAGAGTATTAAGTAATTAGCAATTTATCACACTGGAACAAGGTTGATAATAATTGAAGAAGTAATGGTTGGCCAAGGAAACTAGAAAGGGAGGCACTTCTTGTTATGTGAGTGAAATCTCGCCTGAAAATTTTCAATTCAGAAAAGCCAAGATGAAGCCTTTGTCAAAAAAAAAAGCATCCTTTCTTTTCCTCCCCTCGTATAAAAACAGTTCATTATCAAAATTTTAGTTGACCTGTCAAAAGTCCCTCAGAGCGATCAGATGACTGATTAGGGTTTCGAATTAGGTCAATGTCTGCATTTTGATTTCATACTTAGAGCATGGTGAAGCCATGCAATAATTTGCGAGCGGAGGGGGAGACTGTACTCTCCTCCCTAAAAGACCAGTTTTCAGGTTTTGATTGCTCTCTAAAATGGAAACATGAATAGTTTTAAGAAAATTACAAGAGGAGAAAAGTGACAGCCAAGAATCCAAGGGTATGTTTAAATTTATGATCTGAAGGCAGCAGAAAAACAATTTCCAAACAATACCAAACTTAGGCGCATGGCGGTCACTTTTATTTTTGTGTGTATGAAAACACACATTTATAAGAAGACACTGGCGTTTTGCATGAATATACCTGTCTTTATCCATAGAATTAAGACTCAGTCTGCAGTGAGAACCTTGCAGTGCGAATCTCATTACAGAGCACATGTCCTGGGAATGAAAATAAAGATTGTTAATATCGTTGTTTACTTTCAGTGACTTGGAAGACTTATCACACTTAGTTTAGCATATTACACATCAAAATGTAACGATCAGTATCTATGAGTAGTCAAGTATACAATTTTTAAATAGTGAGAATTTTTTTGAAGTTGAACACTAGTATGATAGTTCTTCAGAGCCCTGACTGCATAGTGTCTTCCTTTAAGAGATTCACCACACTGAGATCTTTCTGAATGACCTTTTTTTTAAAAGCTTTAAGAACTCTGGCCTGTTATTAGGGATGCTGCTCCTAATATGGACGTTTGTACAGGACCAGATTAAACAATTCAGGACTCTAGACCACTTGAAATTTGAATTTCTTTGCATTATTGGTTGGGACGAATAATAAACAAACAGAACTCTAATTAAAATGAATCATTCATCAAGTGGCGCTGCTTTGCGGCCAGATGCAAATTCTATTTAGACAACATGATGACATGCCATCTAGACACCTTGATTTCTAGCAAAATCCAACTCCAGAGCATTGTTTATCTAACTGGCTCTTTTATGTCTAAATTGATGTTGGTTTCTTCTATGGCGATACATGGTAGACATTTGGTCATTGGGAGAAAAGCCTATTGGCCCTTCAGGCATAGATGTCTCTGCGGATGGAAAGTTGGTGACGTGCCCTTATTTTGGTGTCCCCAGCCTTACAACCACGTCATTTGATAGACCCAGGGCTGCGTGAGACTCAGAAAATAGTGGCTGGCTGTCATGCTTGTTCTTCTGGGGTGGCAAACAGGCTTCACTGGTTTGTTAGGGGTGTGTACGTGAGGTTTGTGATGTACTTCACTTAGCTTGTTGAGAATTTTTTATAGTGGGTTCTGGTCATGTTCACTCACCTCCCCAACTTCTTCCAGATCTCCCCTACCCACCCAATTTTGTGTCCTTTCTTTTTAAAATCTTTTTCAACCATCCCATCAAGGCCAATTTGTTCTTCCTAAATGTCTGGCTTTGCCCTAGAAAATGATCATCTTACCAGAGACCTCACTCTTAGAAAGAGTGACTCTCCCTCCTGCAGCAGCTAACAATTGCCTTTAGCTCTTCAGAAGTGGAGAGACTTCCTACTCAGCTCCCACTCCCTGCTGGGATCTGGGATGACCCTGGCTTGCACCAGAGACTGTGTATGACGCTGTGATTGGCTGTGCAGCTGTACCTAGAAGGCAATGTTTCTTCGGAGTCATCCACAGCCTCCTGCACACTTTCTAACCATTTCACAACGGACCCTGAGCCTTGTGAGAAGAGCTTATGGTACACATTCCATTTAGGCTTGAGCGTGCCATAGCCTCTGTATCTCTGCCTCTTGGCCAGTTGTGGTCACAGCGTCATCTCCCCTTCTGATGTAAGTTTGTAGAGGTGTGGCTGTTGGGGACTTTTGACCAGCTGTGTTTGCTGTCATTATCATCTTCTTAGGTACCACAGGATCCCAAGATGGCCTTCCCTTCAACATGTCACTGAAAATAACTTGGTTCTTCTGATTTTCTGTCTCCACCTCCCTAATGTTGGTATCACGAGGTGTGATGCCATCTGGCTTATACAGTATGGATTAGAGACCAAACTTAGGCAAGCGCTCTACCAACTGAGCAATAGCCCCGGCTTGGTTGCACATACCCAATATAATTCTGAGAGAAAGGGACTCTACAGCTGTCTCAGACTTCAGGGGAGGCAAATGCACACCCCAGACAAAGACAGGCGGCAGCTCACGGAGCTCTTACCCAGGGTGGCTCATCTGGATGTCTCTATATTTCCACTCTGCCTGGCTCTCATCCCAGAGTCCTGGGTGGCCCAGCCTCCCTTGTGAATGTCTCCAGCTTTCTCTCTAGGATCTTTTAATCTAGCAAACCTACTTGAGCAACATGCTGTTATCATCACAAAAGGGGAAGGTGGTTTTGACAGAAACCCAACCTTTCTTTCTGTCTTTCTTTTTTTTAATGGAGTGCGGGCAGAGTCTGGCCTAGCTGAATGATTTCCGAATGGTTCCTCTTGTGTGTTCTTTTCCTGATGAGTGCCTGGCGCTCTGGCTAAGAAGGACTCTCACCGCACATTTAATTCACCTTGGTGGAGAGACGCTACCCTTGCTAGGGCTCCTTCGCCGAAACGGCCCGAGTCTGACGCTTTTATACCAAGCTTTACGGCTACCTCAGTTTTCTTCCCTTTTTTATTTGATATTCATATATAACATTTTATTGTTGCAGGAGTGCTGTGTTGTGGGCAGGATTATGTGAAGATGTCAGATACCATATGCTGCTCAGCTTCCCACGGAGAGTCTAAAGCACACGTTAAAAAGAATGACCCGGTGCCAGCGAAGTGCTGTGACACTGAACTTATTCCAGAGAGCCGGCGATGCTGTAATGGAGTTGGAGAGAATCCTTTGAAATATGTTTGTCCTGACCAGATTTCGGCTGCAATGGCGATGAAGGTAATTGATAGAAAGCCTCTCGGAGGGGCCGCCTTGACGAAGAAAAGAGAAATACATGGTTCATAACTATTTTTCTAAAATAGGAATATAAAACCTCATGTGTGCATTATTCATTCTTGTGTCCTATCCATATTAATACCGGATGAGTTTGTCATGATTGATGCCACAGCGATGAATTCTAAAGGAATTCCTAATGATTAGCTGTTCTGGGGAAAGCTTTGCCCAGCACTTCAGATGAGTGGGTGACAGGAAGTGTGTGCTCCCAGACCGAGCACTGTCCTCCCTGGCCCCTGTGCAGCACAGCCCTGAGTACTGCAGCTGCCACCTGTGGTGATTCAATTGTCAATCTCAGTGATTTAGAAATAGCTGGAATCACATCCCTGGGTGTGCTATGAGGGGTTTTCTGGAGGAAAGGACTGAGGCGGAGCACTAACCCAAGGAGCACTAACCCAGGGGGCAGGCAGTGTGGAGCACTAACCCAGGGGGCAGGCAGTGTGGAGCGCTAACCCCAGGGTAGGCAATGCTGTGCTATGGGTAGGCAGAGAAAGCGAGCTGAGTACCAGCATTCATCTATGTCCTCACTTAAGACATGTCCGCATCATCTTACTTCATGAGAAGGAGCCCCTGCGTGGACTAACGATAATCCACAGTCAGTCAGTCTGTCTTTGTAGCATTGGAGGTGAGGTTCACAGCCTTGCACTCGCTTGATCAGTGAGCTGCATCCCCAAACTTAAAATGATATGTGGAGTGTCAGTTAGCCTGGAGTTCACCTCCCTTTCTAGGGGTGCAGTTTTATGATTCACTTGATGTTTTTTTTTTTTTCTGCTGCCCTTGCCTTAGTTCTCACCTCTTAGTCGGTCCTGATCTTCTTAAATCCACCTTTTAATATTTCCTTCTAGCAGTTTCTCGTCCACTGATTACTTCATCTTTTTTCACCTCCTTGAGGTACTGCCTTCCACTTATCTTTCAACTTTCCTATTAATTAAAACAGGAAATGGAACCATTTTGTCTAAAGGACTTTTTGGGTTGGATGGGGATGGTTTTGTTCCTGAGGGCATTGGTTTGGTTGGGTTTTGTGGGTTTGCTTTATCTTTGAATGGCGTTGTTTGCTTCTTTAGCACAGGTTTGACTCTTCTTGGTTTATTGTTGCTTGCCCTGAGCCTCCTAGTCTCTAGTATTTGTAAGAGCCTCTTTCATCAGAGGCTGACTGGGGACTTGCCGTGCCCATCATGGTCTGTCTGTCAGTGGGAAGCGTGGCAGGGTTACCACCTGGCAGGGAGACTCTTTGTCAGGGAGTCACATGATCAGGACTCCTAACAAGTACTGCTGTATTCTCTCTCCTCCAGGTTGGCAGTGGGGTTTGCCTGGCTGCCGGCTGTGTAGGGACCCACAGGGGCACTGGTAGTGTGTGCCATGCAGATTGACTTTTCCTGTCACTATTTCAAACCTGGGTCCCGGCTTTGTCCTTCTAGCACGTGCTCTCTGCCCCTCTCATCTGCACTAACTCTTTTGCGGCTTGTCTCATTCAGGCAGGCATGGCTAACTGCAGCCAATAGCAATACACTTGCTGCTGACAGCCCCCCTTAGGGCTATGGAGCCATCCAGGGACACAGTTTCCTGTTGACAGAGGTTTCTGTCCCACCAGGTCCCACAGTTGTACAGTCCCAAAGAAATACACAGAGGCCTACATTAATCATAAACTGGTTGGCCTATTAGCTCAGGCTTCTTATTAATTCTTACATCTTAACCCATAATTCTGTTAGTCACATGGCTTGGTACCTTTCATCAGCGAGACATTCTCATCTGCATCCTCTACAACTGCAGACCCACTCTTTCCTCTTCCCAGAATTCTTTTGTTCTTATTGCCCCCACCACTACTTCCTGCCTGGTCACCCTGCCAATACTTCCTGCCTGGCTACTGTCCAATCAGCATTTTATTAAACAAGCACAAGAAAAAAAAATCTTTACAGGGTAAAACCATTCTCCCACAGCAGTTTCCTTTTTGTTTTTCCATGCCATGCCAGTGATCTCCAGTTTTCTCTCTTTCTTTCTCTCTCTTTCTTTCTCTCTCTCTCTCTCTCTCTCCCTCCCTCCCTCCCCCTCTTTTCCTCCCTCTCCCTCTCACTCACTCTGTTGTTGCTTTGTTGCTGTTTATCCATCCTGCTTAAACCACTAAATCAACCATGCACTTTAGAACTTTACTGCTTAAATAGACTGTGTTAAAATAAAAGCAAATGTTTGTGCAAGTGATGGCTCCATAGAATGTGATTTTCAGTCTGACTGAGATATAATTGGCATGTGTGAGTACTTGAAATGCCCTGTGTGTTACTTCCCTGCCGGCTTCCTTAGACTTTATATGTTGAGTTCCTACAAGTCATCCGTTGTCTTACTGTCATTTGGATAGGTTTCCAGTGAGCAGATAAATATGCATTCACTTTGTCTTTCTTAAATGGAATTATCACCATGTTTTTCTGAAGAAATGGTATTTTGATAAACTTGAAGAGAATTTAACCTTTCAGGAAAGAGAGAAGAAAAATGATCAAATTTTAATATTAAAACCATTTAAACCCCATTTATTACTTATGCATAGGAATGTAATGTGGTTTGGTGTCTTCTGTGATTATTACCTTCTCTATAGTGCCCCAAATTTAAAATGACTGAGCGGTTAATCTCCTCAGCGTGGAGCACTCCCAGCAGGGGTGAAGCATCCAGAGGTCCCTCAGAGAGAAGACCTGGATGTGAAAACAGTCACAGGGACATGTGCAGCACTTGGGTTCTCTAAACTTCCGTGTTGTGGGTCTAACTTGTCCTCCTTAAATTTTTATTACATTTATTTGTTTATTTGTGTCTTGGGGTCAGGGCTACCTTTGAGCCGTGGAGAATCTAAGGGATGTGTAGAAGACAGAGGCCATCTTTGTGGACATGGTTCTCTCCTTCCGCCACAGAGGACCCAGGCATTGGACTCAGCTTGGCATCAGGGGCCCTTATGCACTGAGCCTTCTTACTGGCCCCAGTACCAACTTTTCTTACAGCATAGAAGTTCGGATTCTCAGAAACCCATCCTATATTTTCTCCAAAATAACAAGAAAATGTCAAAGTTCACACAAAAGCTACAGTTCTTATTTGTCACGTATCCTCTGAGTGTGAGGTCATTTGATTCACAGACCAGACCATCCTGGTGAATTTAGTTTCCATTTCATGGGCTCCTACAGATGAGGCTTTGAAAGTTCCCAGAGCTAGGAAGACACAAACCCGAAATGCAATCCAAGCCTTTCAGCATCTCTGTCCTTTCTGGTATGCAAGCCATTTTCTTTTATGTGTTTGAAGATGTTCATTTATCACAAGAGTAAAGTATTTCATTCAAATGATACAAAAATGCATTCTATGTGACTAAGGGAAGTTCACAAACTTTCTTGTCCCTTTCCCCAAAAGGAACTCAGAGTTATGGGTAGCTGTCTGCCCAGCATCCATGGAGGCCACAGCACACTGTGGGCAGTGTGACTTCACTGCCACCACCTATATCTACCCTGTGGCAAAAGGACTTTTCAACCCCACGGGGAGGGTAGCAACGGATGGATTGTGTTCTTCAGCAGAGAAAACGGTTCTTTCGGGACATGTAACCACTCTCTGTCATAGGTAGGTGATGAATGCTGAACCCGCTGCCAGTGGCTGAGTGGGCCGAGTGGGAGGCTACTTTTAATGCAGACTCCATTTCTCTCTGACAATCTCCCTCATGTCCATCAACCTTGGCCTACTCTTAGGCCAACTCGATGCATAGTAATCAAAGGCATAATCTGAATGCATTCAAAGACAGTTATTTAAATTTTTTAATCTGTCCCTCAAAAGGAATGTGTATTATTTTAAATTAAGTTGAAAGAGAATAAAGAACAAGAAGTAAATAAACTGCGTGTGCCTTTCTGGTATATTCCATTAGATGGCTATTAATTTTTATTCTCAACATTGTAACTTAACTTCTAGTAATGGCTGGTGAGGCCTGAGAGCATTGCTCTGAAGAAGGGGACCACTGCAGGGTGGGACTGTCCCCGGGATGGCCAGTCATCCTCAGAACAACCGTCACAGCCACTGACATAGTAACATCTAAGCATCCTTTTGCACTTCTGGGTTAGTCTAAAGTAGGGGTACTTAGCACTGACTGAGCTGGATAAGAAGCTCTGTAGATTCGAAGGTTATTTCTAATCACCTCTGCTCTTCCTTGCAATGTTTTACTGTTCTAATGTTTCTAAAGTTCTTACAGAATGTGATTGTTCCTGAGTACGAAGGTGTATTGCTACAGGTAGAGCCAGAGAGGGTTCATTTAAGTTACATAATTCATATGCACTCTAGAAAAATAAACAAAGCAATGCTGAATACAGCACAAACCATCGCTGTGCCTCACTAACCACAGGCAGTGATCACTCCAAATTCCAGCAATGGAGTGTTCCAGGTGAGACAAGAAACCTCCCAGAGGGAAGGAGGAGCAGAAATCGAGTGTGCTGACCAGAATGTACTCCGATGCTGTGCTAGGTAGCTCAGCTCTCCATGCTTACTCCCAAGGCCGTCATCTTGTGTGGCCATAGGATGTGACGGAATGGGGGTCACATCTGGAAAGGGGCTTGCTGTGGGAAGCAGACCAATCCACACCTGACGTCTGCTGAAAGATGAGATCTGAAAGCTTCCATATGGGCAAGGAGCTTCCTTCCATGTACTTGGCCCCTCCTTCAACTGTTGGCTCCCCTTCGGTAGCCCTTCATCATCCTGCTCAAAGGGTCATAGTATTTGGTGTAGGCCTTCCAGGTCAGCCACGAGCCCCTTCTATTCCTACAGCATCTGGCTTACAAAGACCACACCCTCTACTGCACAGCACTTGCTTTGGACACTCGTTCTATTTGTCCCACTAGGGCTGAAATGGTCTTAAAAATGTTACGTCTTTGCTTCTGTTTGTTGAGATTTATTACACTGCTCATAAACAAAAATTATTTAATAAATAACACTAGGAAAGGCTTCAAGATAGACCGCGGTTTGCCCTGCCTTCCGGCTTCCTGCTGTGAGTTAAATATCACAGTAGTGGACCCTTACTCTTAAATGGTTAGGTTTTTATTCCATAGAGTTGTCAGCTTTTATCTGCCACCTGCAATCAAGTCAACATTTTGAAGGGCTCTTAGAACATCCTTGCAGGAGCCTTCTTCCAAAATGAATAGATGCGCTACTGATGTTACATTAGAGGGGCTTTTAAAACCCAGTTGCTTTGTCTGCTGGAAAATGCTATAAATTGAGCATGAGAAACAAACTTTCTTATCTGTGGCAGTGCTGGCGTAGAACCCAGCAGCTTACCCAGCCTTGGCGAGCACTCTCCCATTGAGCTACGTCCCCAGCCCACTTCTCATGTGTTTGTTAGAGTCTCACTAAATTGCCGAGACTGGCCTTGAACTTGCTGTGAGTCTCCTGTTTCACCTGTCGCCTTCACTGGTTTGTGAAAACGGTTAAACACACTCTGATGAGTGCCCTTGCTGTTCCCTGTCTGCATTTAAAACTCATTTAGGATTGGAGAACTTGCCAGGAGTTCCATCCCTTTCCTGGTAGCCTTTGGTTGTAATAACTGATAAGATTTATAGTGAAAAAACTACAAAATAGCCTTGACATACCTGCCTCATCTAGAAGTAAAGGGGCGCACGAACTTTGGAGACACTCAATTTAACCTTACATTAGTCTTCTTTTCAATCATTTCTTTTGTACGCATATACCTGTGCATGCATGCATGTGCATGCGTGTGTGTGTGCACGCATGTGTGTACGTCTGTAAGCCAGAGGCCCACGTCGTTTGTCTATTATCCAGCTTACTTTCTGAGGTAAGAGCTCTCACTGGCTGAGCACTCTGGGATGGGCCTGTCTCCACCCCACCTGCAGTGCTGGGGTTACAACTCTGCTGAGCCTACCCAGGCTTTCCCACGCATTCTGGGTATGGCGCCAGGTGCTATGATTCTGCAGCAAGCACTTTACCCCCTGAGCCTTCACTCTAGCCCCTCAGCAGTTTCTTTACAAACATTGCCCTCTTCAGAAATGAAGAGGTCCTGGCTGTGAGACTCCATCTCCACATCTGGGGATTTATAAAATGGAGAGATTAGATTTCTGTTTATTTACAAAGGGGTAAGAGCATGAAGCATTTGTTTTAAATGTTTAGAGATCTTGAGTTTCAGGGGTTGGAGGCGTGGCTCTTAGGTTAAGAGTCAGTACTGCCCCTGTAGAGAACCAGAATGTGATTCCTAATACCCGTGAGGGAGGCTCACAACTGCCTACAACTTCAGATCCTAGGCGTCCAGGGCCGTCATCTGACCTCTGCAGGCACCAGCACGCATGCACACAACGAGAGAGAAAGAAAGAGAGAGCAATTAAAAATAAAAATTAAATTTAAAAACGATTTTTACTTTAATTTTTTTAGTGTGGTGCAGTGGGGGCACACACTTTTAATCCCAGCACTTGGGAGGCAGAGGCAGGCAGATCTCTGTGAACTTGAGGCCAGCCTGGTCTACAGAGTGAGTTCCAGGACAGCCAGTGATGATATACAGAGAAACCCTGTCTCTGAAAAAAAAAAAAAGAGTAAACCCCCAGAGTGTGCCTTTTGTCTTTGCAGACGTAGACCTTGAGCCCAGTACTGTGTATGGATACAGGACTTCTGCATGGAACAGCTATGGGTGAGGATTCAGCCAGCCTATTAAAGCCAGCTCAAGAGAAGATGCACCTCAAGGAGTCAGGGCCCCTCCATAAGCCAGGATGGGCAACCTGAAGACGCAGTTTTCTTAAACTGGACAAGCCCAAACAGTCAAATGGTATTAAACTACTTCAAAAATAGAATTACCTAACTTTATAAATTCCTAAAATATGGAAATGATTGAGTTATATATTGCCATGTATCTATTCAGTGGAAATATTTCCTGATAAAAGGAAACCCAAAATTCCTACTCAAAATTCCCAAATCCTCACATATACCAGAGCTACTTTTAAATAAGCAGAATATAACTGAAGACAAAATCGTTCTATTGCTAAAAGTAATTCTTTTTAATCATGAACAGAGATAAGCATACAACTCAGTCCTGAGTTCATCTTCCCCAGGTAGTACAATTGAGAACCACTCGCTTGAGCATAGAAAAGTGCCATGTTTTAAGATGCTGTTATACCTCATTTCTTTAAAACATGTTATGGCAGGGCTGGTGAGATAGCTGGGCAGTTAGAAAGCCTGCTCCACCAATCCTGACCTCCTGAGTTCAGCCCCTGGGACCTGTGCGGTGGAAGGAGAGAACTGTCTCCACAAAGCTGTCCTCTGACCTCCACACACGTGTACGAGCATAGATAAATAAATGTAATTGTAAAGATCAAGGACACACATGTTGTTTGAAAATGGTTAGCATGGCATGCCACACAGCCTGCGTCTTTCTACCTTCCAGGCCGTTATTCACTACATTCTTCCTCGAGATGGAAGGGGGCGATTTCGGGGACCAGCGCTGAGTTTCACCGACACAGAGGGGATCCAGCCAATCCAGGAATATTTGTACCAGCTGAAGGCTTGCACAGCTGCCAGCTGTGCAGCAAGGTGAGAGGAACTCACCTAACTGTGGGAAGAAGGATCCAGCATGAGGGCTGTGTGTCATCCTGGGTGTGACTTTTCCAAGGCCAGTAAACTGTGTCTCCCTCCAAGTGGCATTGAGGAGAGTGTGAGTCTCCTTCATTGGCTGTTGATGCTGAACAGGAGATTCCTGGCACAGAGATTTAACCACACATCAGTGTTTTATCAGGAACAGCGAACTCTCAGCCAGTACCAGTGACTCTTTTCTATCCCCTCTCATTCATTATTTCTGGATAGCTGTTGTGGTTTGCCATGACATTTTCCCCAATCGGTCTCACCATGTGGGTTGGTATCAATGCAAAAAAAAAATAGTCAGTGCTCAATAAATGCTAATGTTAGGACTGGGTCTTTAAATTCTAAGCACATTGGAGTTCATCTATCACTGGAAGAAAATTGAGGGAAAGAAAAAACATTCTGATTTTGAAAGAAACCAAAAGCTGGCATTGAATGGTAGTGGCACCTTTGGTGCTGAGCCACAGGGCATCCACACTGGCACAGGAACAAATGCCCTCCTTTCTCGGGCAAAGGAGTGTATTACCACATTCCCAGGACCAGAGGAGTCCCCGTGATACAGGTTATCCTGAGGCCGCCTCTCACGTTCTGTTGCTTTTACACAAGCCCGGGTACCTTCCTGGTTGCCAACATCATGCCCCACTCCCTGGGCAGCCATCCAATCTTACACTTCTCAGATTCCAGAACATTGAAGCAAAAATAGACAACTCTTCTCTTGGGATGTTTCTCCATCATAGGTACTCTGCTACCATGGCAGAAAATGGAACAGGTCAGGGATGGCCTACAAAGCTGTAAAATGTCCAGAATTATCATCATTTAGGTGATAACTTGCACCTAAATATCATGCCATCAAAATTTGCCCACACTTAAAAATCAGAAATCAGTGAGCCTGCCATGCAAATGAGAGATCTCAATACTCGAGCGGATGTCTTGGTAAAGGATAATAAATAATACAGTAAGTTTGAGGTCAGCCTGAGCTATAAAATACTATCCTTAATAAAAAATAAATAAATAAAAAGACAGTTACGACAGAATGCAGGTGATAGAATCTAGAATATTTGGTGTCAACCTATATAGAATATGCAGCTGGATACAGCCTGCAGCCCCTGTCCATAGCCACCCCTGGGATTGCTATGGCTGTGCCCCAACACTAAATTAGAAGTTACTTAAAGTGTTATGAGCTTTCTGGCATGTTATTTTTTCAACTTGATTCTGTGGTTCTTAAGCATAAACTTTGTAGATGACAGTGTCACGTTCCAATGTCAAAAGACTGGACACCCAGAAAAGAGGGAAGTAAGGCGTTGCTTGTGTTTTTAGGTATGTGGCTGCAGTTGTTGGTAGCTGGTGTTGCGATGGTGCCAGCAGAAACAAAAATGCTAAAATGATAGGATTATCTCCAAGTTGCTCCAAACTGTTTCAAGAGCAGGATGATGGCAGCAGGTATCATTCGCCATTTTAAATGAAAACAAAACATCTAGTTGGATGCCGGACCAGGAGATGGGCTTGCTTGAAAAATCTGAGAAACTAAAGCAAGGGGTTAAGGTAGGATCATCAAGGACCCAGAGAGAAAAGAAACAGAGCACCCCTGGTGATGACTGATGGGGAAGAAAGAAAACCCCTCAGAGGAGACCGAGAAGAAACAAAGAATTAAGGGGGAAATTAATCAAGTGTCAGTTCTCAGGAGCCAACTTCGCGGAAGCAGCCTGGGAGACACCCCAGAAGACAGAATGGCTCTATCGCTATTCATCCGGTTTAAACTTCCCAAGAGTGGGCTCTGCACACCGTCACAGAAACCACACAGCACACAGAGCCCCACTGATAACTGAGCCTGCCGCCATGCCGCAGATGGCAGCTGATTGGCCTAATCAAAAGTTACAGTCTGAACAATTCTCGAACAATTCTCTATTTTGTGTGTAACAGGACCTGGGCCGACCAGATGCCAGAACAATTGGTTAAAACATGCAATCAGGTTTATCCTGTTGGAAAAAAATATCTTCCCAACAGTGCGTTTTCATCCAGAACCATACTGTGACATCCCTGACTCAGTAACTGGCTGATTTTTCTTCTCACTTGCTTCTTTTGCCGGAGTGTCCGTGTACACGGTATACAGTTGTCTTGGGAAAGGGACCGGGAAGTCTGCCCATTATGCTGCCTAAAGCATGCTCTATGCAGGCAAGTTCAGACCTCAATTTTGCTCCATATTTACTGATGCTTCTCTTTTCAAAATCAGGCTGTTAAAATGCAAAGACACTGATGGGCCATATGGAAGAGAGTTCTCCAGGCAGACAGTCTGCCAGGCGGGTTGCACTTGTTTAAACGGAGGGCCGCACTCTGCCTTCAAAATTGTTGTCGGACCTGTTGTGATAAATAGTAGTTGGAGACTTATGTAATGTATTCAAGGTCAGATTTCATTGTTTAAATAGGATGAGAGGGAAAGAATGGAGGGGGGGGGGGTGCTCCTTCCCCCAGCCTCTGCTAATGATATGCCACGCCAGACGGCAGGGCTCTAAAACAGAAGCGACGTTTTCATTGATCAAGATTCCTAGTGGACAATGACAATAAATTGCTGTTTAATTTCCAGGCTCGCAGGTACCACCCGAGGCATCCCTGAGAGTGTCTCACCACCAAACATCACAGCCCAGGGCCCAGAGACACTATGCCTCAGCTGGAGTGTCCCTGAGAAAACGAAAGATGTCGTTAAGGAGGACCAGCGCTGGCTGGATGGGCGAGGGCTCATCTCCGCTGACACTGGTGACAGCAGGCAGCATACGGTCACAGGTGACAAAACGGGAAATCTACTGGAGGAGGCTGTCATTGCCGTGGGGTTGTGGGGGGAGCCCCCCAGGGGTGTGTGTTTGATATATGAGGTCACTTCGAAAGGACATGTTCTCCTGACATATGGTCAGGTCCTACTTAAACCATGCTAATCAAAGAGCCCACACTGGCAGCAATAAGCCACGGCAGCAGAGAACTTCAGAAATAATTTATATTTGGCTTTGATACGCAGTGTGTGGAGGGAGGGCTTGTGTCGGTATTAACTTTTTTTTTTTTTTCCAAACAAACAGTAAGATGTGTTTTCATTCTCCAGGGATAGATTCACAGGTAATGGGGCTCGGACAGACAAGTAAGGATTGAGAGGTGGAAAAAAAAATCATGTCGGGGCTGCCAGAGAGCGCCAAGGTGAATAGGGAGTTCTCGCTTGTTGACTGTTGGCTGCTTGGAACTCCTTTTCGTGATTATTTCTGTTAATGATCAGTGATCATATTATTTTGGTTATCTCTAGCATTGCCATCATTATTCCAATTGCAGGAGAGTGGTGGGTCAGCCCTCCTGGTGACCATAGAACACTTACCACGTGCAGCTTGCCTATTTCTTTTGAAGAGAAAATGCATTTCTGTCTTAATCACGTTGTTTAATCATAGGCTTCACAGCACCCAGTAGTTTAATCTTTGGTTTTGTCTTTTTTTTTCCCTTCTACCTCCATCACTAGCAAATGCAGACTGCAGACAGGGACCTGACCAACCTGTTCAGCCCTGCATTGCTGACGCTTCCACTCATCCTGAGCAGGCCAGCGGAAGCTGAGCGAATTTGGGGCAGATAGCTAAGAGATATCAAACACTATCTGAACACCAGCATGTACCTACTCAACCCCGATCTCAAACCCAAGAGGGCAGAGGTGACCCTTGGGTCTGTTTTATTAGAAAAAGTACTTCTGCAGACAAAGTCATTTCATTCATTATTGGGGTTCAGTGAGTTGCTCCAAACACACCTGGACGTTGAGGTTCTGAGACGATGGTTTTCCAAAGGGCCACTATTTCTCCATTTCTTTCTAAGACTTCCCAAAGTGATGACCTCCTGCTGCTGGGCTCTGTGCATTCAAAGAGGATTAGTCACACCGATAACAATTTACAGGAAAGTACAGAATGTCTAGAAAGATATGTCTGGTTTTTCAGAAGTCAAAATTTATGCTACACAGTTGAAAAAGCAACTCTGTGGTATTTTGTTCTTAAGTTCCATGGCTTTCTGCCTCCTAAGTACGCACTGATTGACAGGATGGCTGGTGTTTCTCCAAAAGCCCCATGAGTCCTAGGAAGACACTTAGTTCATGCTTGTACACCCGCACATCTTACTCCACATCTGGAGATCATGAACTAACTTGGTGATAACATGGATTGGGAATGCTTTCTTTCATTCAAAGGATCATACTGGTTTCTTATATCTTGTTTCACTCAAAGTAACACAAGCACAAGTAATTGATTGGTGGTTGGCTTTATGTGGCAGAACCTGGCCTTTCTCCATGACTTTCCTGTCCTAAAAAGAAGAGTTACGTTCTGACTCATTGCCTCTCACCACATGTTTGGAAATGAGGAAAGTCTGTAGACTTCATGCTTAAAAGAGGAAGAAAACTCACCCACACAAGGTGTCCACAGTATTTACTAGCTCCATCTGTAAGGGAACCAGAAATTAACTCTTTCTCTCTCTCTCTCTCTCTCTCTCTCTCTCTCTCTCTCTCTCTTTCTCTCTCTCTCTCTCTCTGTGTGTGTGTGTGTGTGTGTGTGTGTGTGTGTGTGTGTGTGTGTGTGTTCATGCACATACTGCTACTCAGTGGTTATGGTCTTAATAATATATAAAAATTTTGCAAAAGAGATAGTGAGGGCTGGGGAGATGGCTCAGAGGGTGTATGCCTGCTGTGTGAATGTTCTAATGTGAACATTAGAAACAGCCAGTGTCTGCGGTGGCATACATATGTAATCCTATCACTGGGTGGGGGGGGGCAGCAGTGGAGGCAGGAGGATTCCTGGAGCTCACTGGCCAGCCATTGTAGCCAAATCAGTCAGCACCAGGTTCAGTGAGAGACCCTGTCTCAAAAAACTAAAGTGAATAACAATCAAGTCAGACACTTGATGTTGACCTCTGACCTCCACAAGTACAGGCACTGGAAAACACCTCACACACATTCTTCCCAGACAAAAAAGTCTCTCATTTAATTAGCATAGTGACCTCTAAGATGCTTGTGGCAATAGAGGAGGTTGACCAGTAAAAAGACAGTCATTAGGCCAGTGAAGAATGCTGGGCTGGCAATACAGAGGACTTGAGTGCACATGGTAATTGAATGTGAATTAAAATTCTAAAAGTCAGCTAAAGCCACCTAAAATCACGCACCAATTCATACTGGCTCCACAGCAAACTGAGAGAGAACTTTGAAGAATGTGGCCCAGTCGTATCTACCATCTTTGGTACTGGCTTTGAAATGTTGCCCACTGTACTGGCTTGCATCAGAGACCAGCTCTGAGATGTCGGCAAAACAAATTCAATTATAATGTACAAACCCACAGGATGGACGACCTCATTAATTATAAAATAATTGCGAAGTCCTTTCTTTAAATCCCTCTGCTCCATGATCCTTCCTTTCATTGTCATTCTTCATCAATATTGCCATGTCAAAGAGGAATTTATGTGCACACATTGGTGCCAGAAGTCCTTTCATTAGCATCAACATTTTAAAGTTTTTATATATAAGTTAAACTTTCACAAAAAAATCATAAAGTGAAAATTCTTTTATATTTTATTGATTACTTTTTGAGATTTTTCTAGATGAGTGCTATGTTTACATCATTTATACCTTACTCCCTGCCCCCTCCAACTCCTCCCACATCCCCCAAATCCTCCTATATTTCTCTTTAATTATTATGGTTACATATCTATACATATGTAGACATTAATACAACTTTTTAAATTATTTTACTGTTGCTAGGATATGTATGTGTTTGGGGCTGACCACTGTGGACTGTAAAACCTGTGTGAGTGTGGACTCCCTCCCTAGGGCCAACTGACTCTCTGTCTCTCAGCAGACATTAGTTGCCTGCAGCTCTTCACCTTGGGGTGGGGGTTTTAGGATTTCCCACATCAACACTGGTAAGTCTGTGAGTAGCCAACGGGTACTGTCGTTGTACCAGTCTTGTTTGTAGTGACAGTATTGTTTAGACTTTATAGGCGTAGAATCTCTGTCATATGTGGAAGACACTCTCTTACAGCAGATATTCTGGTCACATGGCTCTTAGAATCTTCCAGTTCTTTTTCACAGTGTTCCCTAGCACTGGGTGTAGGGCTTGTGTTGTGGATGTATCTAATGGAGAGTCACTTTTGACCAGTTGGGGTTTGCTGTGAGAGTCTCCAGAGTCCTTTGGCCCATCCATCTGTCATAAATGCAGTTAGAGAATCTTTCCTTTGGGCAATAGAGCCCTGAGGAGATGGGGTTCAAAGCTTTCTAAATGCAGTTTATAAGGACCAGGAATGTGGGGCTAGGCACAAACATTTCTAAGTCAGGATCACCACAATGCGGTGTACATTCTCTGCCAGGGAACACAGGTTGTCAGCTGACCAACCAAAGACAGGAGAGAAACATTTATGATGTGATGGGTGTTTGTCTGAATGAAGAAATGTTTCTCTGTTTTTCTTCATGAAGGAAAATAACAGAATTTTCTTCCTAGACTATCTCAGATGTTTGTTTAAAGGCTTCTTGAGATGCCTGAAATAAATATTTAGATTTCTCTTCATTTCCAAACCCTAGTATTCCCTAAGTATCAGAGCCCTAATGAAGCTGCAGCACTAGGCTTTCCGGAGGCTGAAGGAGCTCAGTCCGGGCATGGCATGAGGGACCAACAGCACCTTGCCGCAGCCATGCTGTCTCCATGCTTACTTTTAATTACCTCAAAGCCTAGGAAACATGATCCCATAAATGCTTTGTGGGAATAGTGGCAAAGGCCCTCATCACTCGAAACCCATAAATTGCTTATAATCCTCTAAAGATGTTTTTTTTAAAAAAAGCATTAAGTAATTGAAGACAGGAAGTCCTCAGTTAATTATTTAGAGGTGTTATCAATGCCTTAAGTAAACTGGAGCATTGTCTGCTATCTCCCCACACCGGGCCCCGTGAGACCCAGGAGAGAGCAGCTCCCTTCGGCTCATATTCACTAATGCAAACAGCACATGGTAGCTTGTCAATAGAGTCCTCCCCTGATCACTTATGGCTAAGTTCGTCTACTATTCCATCCTACACACAACATTTGGATGGCAGAATGGTCGTGTTAGCCAGCCTGTGTCTTGGGGATAGAGAGGAAGGTGGAAGGGCTATCTCAGTGACTGACTGAGCACAGTGAATGAATGAATCACCTCCTCTTCAGCAGCAGGTCTGGTGAGGCCTGTGTGTCTCTTAACTCGGGGTAAACTGTTGCCAAATGAATTACTTGTGGGCTGTTCATCATTGCCTTGCAGTCAGAAGGCACATTCAGGCGTCGATTTGCCTTCTCTCTTCCGCTTCAAGGTTATTGAAAGCCCTTTCTACTAGGGAACACAAACCCTAACATTTCTGTTTAAAACAGAAAGTAGAATAGTAACATTATGCTAATGCCAGTACTATCCACATTACTTTTGAAAATGAGAAAACGTATTTTGAACATCAGGATGACAAAATGTGGAAAAAATCCTTGTGAAGGGTTTCCCTTCAGATGACTCCACTGTGTGGTGACAAGTTATCTTTATTGTCGTGATAGCTATAACATTTTATTGAGCTGGGAGATGGCTCAGTGGGTAAAGTGCTTGCCTCACAAGCATTAGGACCCGAGTTTGAATCCTCAGAGCCCACGTAAACCTGCACATGGTAGCATGTATCTGTAATCCCAGGACTCCTAGAGCACTATGGGAGGTGGAGACAAGAGAATCCTGGGAAACTCCAGGCCAGCTAGAACATCAAGAGAGAACATCAAGAGAGCCTGCCT